GCGGCCGCGGGTCACACGGGCACTGGCGGGTCGGTCGTCGAAGGTGTGAGTGTGTCAGCAGGCCCCACGCCTTGCTAGGGCGGGTGACCGTGAGAGTGAGTGAGCTTAGGTCAACTGAGGTCAGTTTTTCCACCCACTGGCTCTATTCTCAGGGAGCGTGGCTTGGGGGTGAAGCGAGGGGCAGACAGCGTGGGCTCGTACGTGGTCTAGATATGGATACACGTGGGGACGGCATGGTACACTATGTAGTATGCTATATTGCACCCTATAAAGGGAAGAAGGAGGAAGAGAGAGAGAGATTTCCCACTTTACTATATTACAATACCGATCCGAACTTAAATATATAATTTTAATTAGAAGTTAAAATGTCTAAATTTTGTGTTTCTGTATGGAAAATAGGCATATGTATGAAAGAGCATACCTTTCCATTACAGAGAGTGGGGGAGAGAGAGAGAGAGAGAGAGAGAGAGAGAGAGAGAGAGAGAGAGAGAGAGAGAGAGAGAGAGAGAGAGAGAGAGAGAGATGAAATTGACTTTAAATTTGTATCTGAATGAACAATTCAAGCAAAAACAAACTACAAAATCTGCAGATTATATATTCCGTATAGCATCTTGATAGATATTAAAAATGGCTTAACGAGTTAAACACCTGCCTTCGAGGCGGGGGGACTGGGGTTCGATTCCCCAATCCATTCAATTTTACTTTTGTTTTCATGGCCATAACTGTTCTAGCTATACTGACAATCCTCAAAGTAGTAAAAATTATCAGACAATATAATAATTACGTGGCCTCATTCGGTCATTTTGAATATATGTTATGATGTTATTCATAATATATAAAATGCAGTTTTTGGAGTTTGTTTTGTGATGTAATCATAATAAGAATATGTTTAGTCTGTACCTCTTTTGAGTGTGTGTGTGTGTTTATATATTCGTGTATGTGTACATGTATGTATATGTGCATGCACGTATGTGTATGTGTACGTAGGTATATATGTAAGTATGTTTGTGTATATGTATATACATATCATAGGATAGGAAAAGGGGGGGGGAGGGCGAGACCCAACTTCTGCCCCCCCTCCCCCTCCCAACTTTCGAGGGCATTCCCTGTAAACGAAAGAGTCAAATGATTTACTTATACATTGTTCCGAACACTAACCCCTGCAGCTGTTCAGAGTGAATTAACCATTAGAGAGAGAGAGAGAGAGAGAGAGAGAGAGAGAGAGAGAGAGAGAGAGAGAGAGAGAGAGAGAGAGAGAGAGAGAGAGAGAGAGAGAGAGAGAGAGAGAGAGAGAGAGAGAGAGAGAAAGAGAGAGAGAAACCCCCTTTTCCATACCAGACTGTTTTTCCAGGCGAACAATTCCCTACGGGCGTTTTTGGGCGGGCGGCCATTTCCATACACGTGGATTTGTGTATGTAGGCCTATTCCAACTCGTGTTTTGGCGCGTGAGGATATTTCCCTACTGGTGCCTTGTTGCATATTTGCGGATGTGGCAATATGCGTTACTGAACATTTCTCTTTTATATGGAACTTCTACCTCTTTCTGGTACTTATATTCAATGCTGCTGTACTAACGTTTAATCCCCGGCTGAGTTTATAGACAAAAAATCGGTGTTCGTGATAAGCTCGTTAAAAGTCAGACAGTCTTTACAGTTTGTCTTCCTAATTATATTTTCAAGTACATCATAGAAGTACCTTGTTATATCTTAAATTATGACTTAAATATATAAATAAATACAGCATTAGCATATGTGATTGACTTCGGTGTTCCGACTGACGTCAAAATTCGGGTTACGACGCCATCGTAGGAACGGATCTCCGTCGTAAGTCGAGGACCCCCTGTACGGACATGTATATACATAGTAATAAATACAAATCTGTCTATCTGACAGATACACATCTATCTATCTATCTGGTAGATATGCATGTCTAAACTGATAGATATGTATATACACGACCGTATAATGAATATTCGTGAATATTAAGAAACTGACCGATTATCTATGACCTTTTGTGAATACCGCCACCAAGGGTCATAAGACGCTTTTGAAATGGGACAGACAGGTTCATCTCATGTTCTGAAGGTTATCACTTAATTAGTCTCTATTAAATTTTATACTCATCTTTTTATAATCATGTTTGCAATATCGAATAGGATAGTGTAAACCAAAATATCATTTTAATTGTAATGCTTATTGATTTATGAGAAGTAATTATTTCCAGTCAATCAAAAAATGCGTTCAGAGGTACAGGTTTTCTGCTTGTTTGGGGGTTATCGTCTTTTGATGAGTAATCCTATGATGTAAATAACTAACAGCCTTTATATATTGCTTCACCATAATGCAACGCCCGTAAAATGAATGAAAACACGCATGGAGTAGGTCAACGAGGTTCACTAACATGAAAACAATTCAGAGGAACAGCGGTGTAGGGAAACCTTTGCCAGACAGCGCAGTGGCAGTGGTACGTTGCTGGCGCGAGGAAGGGAGAAAAATGTCAA